ATGAACCATATTAATTTTACCTCATTAATTATCCTCTTTAAAATATTAACATTTTTAATTAAAAAAGGGGGCCTTAAGATGGTCATTATACTTATCAATAAAAAAAGATAACTAAAAATGAACCATATTAATTTTACCTCATTAATTATCCTCTTTAAAATATTAACATTTTTAATTAAAAAAGGGGCCTTAAGATGGTCATTATACTTATGAAGCAAATGTTAAACATCAGAATGATTAATATTTACCTTTGAAACAGTGGGTATTTTATTCTCTTTTGGGACAGTTAAGTGTTTTCTTTTCTCTTCTGATCTGTAAGTCTTTATTTCTTCTTCTCCCTTGGCAGTTCTCCATTCTTCTTGCCTACTGAAAGAGAAAAGTCACACATGTTAATCTAGAATTTTACAACTGATTTCCTCCACAAAAGCAATGTTAGGTATCAGGGAAGGAATGCTAGTGCTGAAGTTTTCTTTTCAGATGGAAACATGTGATAAAGATTTCTGAGTTTAATTTCATAGTTTTGGGGCACAGGCACCTAGCATTAAATGATCGGAATACTGGAAAGATAGACTATGCCTACTTGAACTTCATACTCGTGTTTCTGCTATGGTCTGGTAAATCAAGTATGAGATTCTGGAAACACAGTTATTCCTAGGGTAACTTCTCCAAGAGATAGAAACTGGACTTTAAAAAAAAAAAAAAAAACCTGAATGAGTATAGGGTCTATGCTTTCATAATCTTGTATGCCACATAGACAGACAGCTGAAATCTTTTTAAAAGATGAGGCACAACAGAGCCTTGAGCCTCCACTAATACAATTCCTGAAGCCCTGAAAGAACTACATTGTTTCCACTGAGAGGCAGGTTAGGCTTCACCTACTGAAAAAACTCAAACAACAAGGTGAAACTGAACAGTAGAAAAAGTATAGGAACATTAATTTTGAACTTCAACTTCATGGAACCTGAACTCACAAGGACAAAAAAATTTACTTTTTACTTTAATTTTGTACAACTAAAGTTTCTGAACTGCAAGGGTAGTTGAACTTTAATCTTTGAATTTTAATTTTTTCCTGGAGATTTCATGAGAAGGCAGTTAATAGTCAAAGTTAGAGCAACTATATACTGTTGATATTTTATTACTAGCATATATTAATGTTGTCATTTTACTTAACTGTAGAAATCTCTAATGTAACTAGTCGTAATTCTGAATAGGAAATAAAGTAAGTAAATTTAAATCTTTTGAAAAGGACAGCCTTAAATTTAAATTTTTGTTCTTAGTATTAAATATTTTTTAAATTTTTATTGAAATAATTACAGATTCACATTCAGTTTCAAGAAATAATATAGAGAGATTCCTTATAGCTTTTATCCAGTTTCCCCAGAGGTAACATCTTGCAAAACTATAGTACAATTTCACAACCGGGATGCTGACATTGATACAGCACACTTACCTTACGTGGATTTCCCCAGTTTTACTTCTCTTCATTGGTGTGTACATACCAGCATAAATTGTTTTATTATGCTTTGCAAACACTGCAAAGCATTAGCAGCATTAGCGTCTTTACAAATTTTAGGTTTGTGGCAACCCTGTGTTGAGCAAGTCTATTGGCACCATCTTTCCAACAGCATGTGCTAACTTCATGTCTCTGTGTCATGTTTTGGTAGTTTTCATAATATTTTAAGCTTTTCCATTGTTACTACATCTGTTATAGAGATCTGTCATCAGTGATCTTTGAGGTTACTGTTGGAACTGTTTTGGGACATGACAAACCACACCTAGATAAGATGGTGAAGTGTTCAATGAATACTGTTTGTGCTGTGACTACTCCACCAACCGGCCTTTCCCCCATCTGTCCCCTCTTGTTGGATCTCCCCATTCCCTGAGATACGATATTGAAATCAGGCCAATTAATAACCCTATGATGGCCTCTAAGTGTTCAAGTGAAAGGAAGAATCACACGTCTCTCACTGTAAATCAAAAGTTAGCGTGAGAATGGCATGTTGAAAGTTGAGACAGGCTGAAAGCCAGGCCTTTTGTGCCGAAGAGTTGTGAATACAAAGGAAAAGTTCTTGAAGGAAATTATATGCGTTACCACAGTGAACACACAAGTGATGACAAAGTGAAAGAGCCTTATTGCTGATAAGGAGAAGGTTTTAGTGGTCTCAACAAAAGATCAAACCAGCCTCAACATTTCCTTAAGCCAAAGCCTAATCCAGAGCAAGGCCCTAACTCTTCAATTCTATGAAGGTTCAGAGGTGAGAGAGCTGCAGAAGAAAAGCTGGAAGCTGGCAGAGGCTGGTTCATGAGGTTTAAGGAAAGAAGCTATCTCATCTCCATTAACATAAAAGTGCAAGGTAAAGCAGCAAGTGCTGATGAAGAAGCTGCAGCAAGTAATCCAGAAGATCAAGCTAAGATCACTGAAGAAAGTAGTCACACTACACAACAGATTTTCAATGTAGAGAAAACAGCCTTATATTGGAAAAAGATGCCATCTAGGACTTTCATAGCTACAGAGGAGAAATCAATGCCTCCCTTCAAAGCTTTAAGTACAGGCTAACACTTGCTGGGGTTTAATGCAGCTGGTGAGTTGAAGATGAAGCCAATGTTCATCTATCATTCCAAAAATTCTAGGGCCCTTCAGAACTATGCTAAATCTATTCTGTCTGTGCTCTATCAATGGAACAACAAAGTCTGGATGACAGCATATTGTTTATAGCATGGTTACTGAATATTTTAAGCCTACCGTTGAGACCTACTGCTCAGAAAAAAAGATTTCTATCAAAAAATTACTGCTCACTGACAAGGACTTGGTCACCGAAGAGCTCTGATGGAGATGTACAAGGAGATTAATGTTGTTTTCATGCCTGCTAACACAACAACCATTATGCAGCACGTGGATCAAGGAGTAATTTTGACTTTCAAGTCTAATGATCTATGAAATATATTTTGTAAGGCTGTAACTGCCACAGATAGTGAATCCTCTGACGGATCTGGGCAAAATAAATGGAAAACCTTCTGGAAAGGATTCACTATCCTAGATACCATTAAGAACAATCATGATTCATGGGAGATCAAAATATCAACATTAATAGGAGCTTGGAAAAAGTTCATTCTAACCTTCATGGATGACTTTGAGGGTTCAAGACTTCAGTGGAGGAAGTCATTGCAGATGTGGTAGAAAGAAATAGCAAGAAAACTAGAAATAGATGCAGAGCCTGAAGATGTGCCTGAATTGCTGCCATCTCATGATAAAACTTGAGTGCAGGAGGAGTTGCTTTTTATGGATGAGCAAAGAAAGTAGTTTCTTGACATGACATCTACTCCTGGTGAAGGTGCTTGAACATTGTTGAAATAACAAAGGATATAGAATATTATATGAACTTAGTTGATAAAGCGGCAGCAAAGTTTGAGAGGACTGACTTCCAATTTTGAAAGAAGTTCCACATTGGGTAAAATGCTATCAAACAGCATCGCATGCTACCAAGAATTCTTTCGTTAAAAGAATAGTCAATTGGTGTGGCAAATTTTATTGCTGTCTTATTTCAACAAATTGCCACAGCCAACCCAACCTTTAATAACCACTACCCTAATCAGTCAGCAGCCATTAACATTAAGGCAAGACCCTCCACCAGCAAAAAGATTATAACTCGCTGAAGGATCAGATGATCATTAGCATTTTTTTAGCAATCAAATATTTTTAAATTAAGGTTTGTACATTGTTTTTGTAGACATAATGCTATTACACTCTCAACAGGCTACACAACACAAACATAACTTTATATGCATTAGGAAACCAAGAAATTCATGTGAATCCGATTGCAATATTCACCTTATTGCTATATTTGCTTTATTGTGCTCATCTGGAATCAAATCTGCAATATCTTCAAGGTATGTCTTTATTTAGTCCTCTGCAAATTTATCACAGGTGTAGGTTTTTGTATCTATCACTCCAGTTAAGATACAGAATATCTCCATCACCACAAAGATCCCTTGTGGTACACTTTTATCACACCCACCTCTCTCTCCTCCCCGTCTCAGCCCTTCTCCCCCAAATCTTAGCAACCACTAATCTGTTCTCCATCTCTATACTTTTGTCATTTCAAAAATATTCCAAAAACAGAATCACATAGAATATAACCTTTAAGACTTTTTATCCCCACTCAGCATAATTCCCTCAAGATTCATCTGAGTTGTTGTATCAATAAGTTGCTTGTTGTTACGGAGTAGTATTTCATGGTATGGATATAACACAGTTCACTTATACTCAATGAAGTACATCTGGATATTTTTCTGGGTTTTAGCTATTAGAAATACAGCTGCTATACATTGGTGTATAGGTTTTTGTATCAACGTGAGTTTTCAATTCTTTGGAGTAAATCCCTGAGAGTGCAACTGTTGGATCATATGGCAGTTACACGTTTAGGTTTTTAAGAAAGTGCAAAACTGTTTACCAAAGTGGCTGCACCATTTCACATTCCCATCGGGAATGCATGAATAATCCAGTTTTCTCTGTATCACCCTCCTAGCATTTGGTGCTGTCACTTATTTTTTATTTTAGCTATTCTGATAGGTTAAGTTAGTTGTATTTCATTGTGGTTTCAATTTACATTTCCCTAATGACTACTGATGTTGACTATCTTTTCCTGTGCTTATTTGCCATGTGTAGTTCCTCTTTGATGAATAAATGTTCATGTCTTTTCCCCATTTTCTGATTGGAGTTCTTTTTATGTTAAAGATATTAGAGTTCTTTTTATGTTAAAGATATTAGCTCTTTGTTAGATATGTGATTGGATTTAATTTTAATTAAAAGTACTAGGCTGACCCACTTCAGAGATCTCTAGAAGTAAACTTTAAACTACCCACTAGGGAGAATCCCAAGAAGATTCCCAAAGGAAAAGTACTAAATGTTGGGGACAAAGCTCTAGGAAGACCAAAGTAATAACCTCTAAGGTGATGGCCACAGCCTTTCTTGACCATAGGCTTAAGGAACAGTGAAGCCCAATGATAAAGGATAAAAAGGTGAAGAATATTTGAAGAGAAACATGTTTCCTTTCATGTGGAGGAACCTCAACCACCAACTACACCTCTTTACTCATTCCTCTCTAGGGAGAGGTACACTAACTAATCAACTGATACGCTCCAGAAGGAAAATTCAGCTTAGCATGGCATAGGCCTATGCTGTTATGTGCAATGTATACATTCTGCTCTACATTTTAAAGAGGTAAGCTAGATGTGCCATATGGGGAGAAGTACTGTGACCCACTACTATCTGTATTTGGGGTTCTTTTAAGGAGGCACACTTTCATGCAGATAAAAGCCACATTATTCACAACTGTATCAGTAATAAAAAGTAATATTCTGATTTCCCATATGTCTTATTTCTTGAGTTATTTTTCAATTAGTTCAGAACTGGAATTAAAAAGATGGATGTTATTTATTGTACCCTCTTCAAACCTTAGAATACAACTACAAATATGTTATGAGAGCTGATTAATTTTTATTAAGTATACCTGAGCATATTTATAAGATAAAGTTATTGTACAAATTTATACCTTAGGTATATATCTACTTCTAAATCCTAACACAAATTTGAAGTATTTTTCCAGTCAAAAAGCATAACCTCGGCCGGGCGCAGTGGATCGCGCCTGTAATCCTAGCTCTCTGGGAGGCCGAGGCAGGCGGATTGTTTGAGCTCAGGAGTTCAAAACCAGCCTGAGCAAGAGCGAGACCCTGTCAAAATAGAAAGAAATTAATTGGACAACTAAAAACATATAGAAAAAATTAGCCGGGCATGGTGGTGCATGCCTGTAGTCCCAGCTACTCGGGAGGCTGAGGCAGAAGCATTGTTTGAGCCCAGGAGTGTGAGGTTGCTGTGAGCTAGCTGACGCCATGGCACTCACTCTAGCCCGGGCAAAAGAGTGAGACTCTGCCTCAAAAAAAAAAAGCATAACCTATAAGAACATTAAGATTTAAAAATATTTAAATTATATAACTTCTACTATCCTTGAAGTTTAAGAACTAGAAAATCTTAAATTCAGCTTCACATTGTGATCTTCATATTTAGAGCTTCAAACACAGAACTCAGTATTAAGTGCATACAGACCTCATTCATGAGGGTTTCATGACTGAAGAATCAAAAGGAACTGGATATAGTGACCTCATAGCATGAACTATGAGAATAGGATTTTATGAAATCGATACTTTTTAATTCATATATGTATACTTTTAAAAAAACATCATTTTGGTATATATAAAATATCTACATATTTACCAATAAATATTTTCTTTATGCTTCTGAACAATATGGTGTGAATGAGTAGCAAAATCCATTCAAAACTATAATTATAACTTTACGAAATGTGTTTGAAGATTTAAATATGCTACTCAGTAAAATCTATTTGGTCAATCCAAATTTACGATTTTCCCATTTACCTTAACACATTCCATTCTCAACATTTACATAAATCATTCTAGAAAATAACATATTTAGAAATTTAATGTTTCTATAGTCATGAATAGTTTAAAATACTAGCTTTTCAGATAATTTAAGAGTAATTACAGAGCTGAAAGCTATTTTAATACTATAACTCAAAATGAATACGAGCAATTACGGTACATAATAATTCACAACATCCCTTACCTGGCTACACCAGCTGATAGCTCAGGTACTACCACCCTTCGACTCCAAGCTACAAGATCCCGCTCTGTGGCTATTTCACTTCTTGGTGCGTTGCTGTGCATTTGCCGTACACCTTCAATTTGTCCACTACGCCTTAGTCCTACGTTTGGTGGTGAATGAACCTCTGAGGTAGAACTTATAGAGCCTAAATGAAAAAATTAGTAGAGTTAAGTTACATTTAGATACATTTCTCCATTATTTTATAACAGGAAACTATACATTCCACATGAAACTTCATACTGTGGCAAATAATTAAACTACCAAATCAGGAACTAAACCACACGCAAAAGTTTAATGAAAACAAAACATGTTTATTCCGTTGATCAAACAAGTCAATGAATCACAACTATAAATTATTAAGCCCCAGGGATGTAAAATCATTACTTTAAAAAAACATTAAGTATTTTTCAAAAAGTTCATAAGAAGCAAAAACAAACTCAAGGACATTTATGGTTCATAAGTTTGCTTTAACTTTTCTCTTAAAGTTTAATAATATACAACAATAAGGGTGATGAGATGTTCAAGAATGTGGCTTTGACTATGTTTCATAAATTACTGAAAAAACAGATTTTTAAAAATTTTTCTAATGTTTACTATTTTAGTAAAATTTAGAAAATTTCATATTTATGAATATAATTACTAATATATAAGTAAAATTTAGAAAATAAAAATTAGAAAAATTTTTCTACATGGTTACTATAATCTGGATTATTATCTATAAATTGAACTCATTATCTGTAAGTTGACATTTCTATTATGAACCATTTTCTTAGGTCATTAAATATTCTACAAAACCTTGATCATTTTGGCAGACTAATATTACATTTTACTGATGTTCCACAATTTAATCACTTCTTTACTGTTGGAAGTTCAGAGTGTTTCAAATCTTTTAATATTTCACTTAAAATAAAATCCCTGCTTACCTCTACTTAAACGGCTGGTATTACTGACACCTGCTTCACCAGAACGTCTCAGGTCTTGCTCCTGTTGTAGTCTTTGAATCATACTGTCCAGTGGGCTGATCTCCTGGTTTGCTTGCTGACTTAAAACTTGGTTCAGTCCTATGCAACACCACACAAAATACTAAGGGATACTTTAGTCACTATTTAAACCATTTCATTCATCAACCTCACTTATAAGTTCAGAATTAAATATAAATTTTGCTTGGGTAAAAGACCTAAAATGATCAATTACAAACAATGGGAGGGAAAAAAAACCCCGCTCATCTTAATTTATTAAAAATAATGATGATTGCTAACTTTTACTAAGTATTTACCATGACTCAGACACTCATAATCCTTATGGTAACTCAGTTAGGTACATATTAACTCCACTTTATAGATAAGAAAACCAAAATAACTCTTCAAAGTCATACATCTAGTAAGTAGCAAAAGATTTTCCATTTATATCACGGTTTCTTTTCAAAAGAAAAACTCACTTTCTCAAAAAAACTTTACTGCCTCATTTATTCAACAAATTCTTGAGTGTCTACTATGTATTAGGAACTATGCCAGGTACTGGGCATCCAGTGAATAAGAAATATCAAGATCTCTGCCCTTCAGGGAGCTAATATCCCCATGGGAAAAGTAAACAATAATGCTATAGATAAAATGTAGAGTGTGAAAAATGATGTTAAAATAAAGAGGGTGCTAAGAAAGAGAAAGGGGGAAGAAGACAGATAGGAACTACCTATGGTTGAGTCAGAAAAGTCAAAGAAGCCCTCTTTGAGAAGGCTGCATTTGAACTGAGGCTTGAATTAGTCAGCCATGTGAAGAGCTAGAAAAGGAACACTCCAGATAGAAGCAAATGGTACAAATGCTCTGAAGTATGGAGGAACGTGCTGTATTTTAACCCATCCTACTTTTACAGCATCAACTCTCACCCTCAACTCTCACCCATACCAGTCATATAGAATCATTTGACTCTTTTACCCTCCTAACAAGAAAATACCTTCATGCTTTCAAACTTTTGAACACAATACTCCCACTTTAAAAATTAACTGAAAAACTTTAACTTATCTTTCAAGCACCAACTAAATGACTGTTTAGCACCAACTATTTCCTCTGTGAAATTTTTTCTTTGAAAGAATTAGCTGCTATCATCTTTCAGTTCCTTAAACAATCTATACATATCTTAGTATTTAGCTAAATACACAGCATAAAGGAAGCAAACTAGTTAGTTCCCCCAAAGCATGAAGTGTCTTATTTATCTTTACAGTCTCTAAATCTAGTATAATGCTAGGCATTAAAAAATGTTCAAACCTGCTGAATAAATGAAAAAAGTGTGTTATGAAATATATGAAAAATGTTACCATAAGAGAAGGGAGCAATTAATATCAAATGTGCAGGTATATAAGAGAAGATTTGATCACGTTAGTCAGGGTAGGCTTAAACTGGGAAGAGAAGTTATCAAGGATATTTTGAAATGAAGTAGTATAAGAAAGACATGCAGAAAGGGTAATTATATGTATTAAATGCATTTCATTTTAAAAGATAAAACTAAAACTAAATAGACAAAATAACTTGTTCAAGGTCACAGAGCTAAAAAGTAGTAAAAGCAGACAGAGGGAAAAGTTCAAATGTCTACACATGCTTCTTTCCTGGTCTGCTGCTAGGAAAACATGTCATGGTTGAATATTGATGAGTAATCCGGTATAGCTCAATTTTACAACTGAGGAAGCACATTTAAAGTAGGTTGTCTAGTGTCAATATAACAAAACTGAATTCAAGCCAATTTATTATTACAATAGCCAAAATCTATTTTTACCTATAATAACTCTAAGAGATTTCCCAAAATAAATTTTATTATAGATCTAGATTTGCAAATAGAAATACTACAGTTAATAATGATACAATTTTTTCAAAAAAGTATTTTTCTTTTTATTTTTGTATTAAGTATTTTTGTGCTCATTAAGTCTAAAACAATGACACAAAAGATTTTTATTCAATTCTGTGAATTAGAAAACATTCAATTCTGTGGATCAGAACTTTGTGAGTCACTATGAAGCCTTATTATTGCTATGGGGTTCTTTTGTGGATACTAATAACTGGTATCTATTCCACTTTTAAGATCATGCCCACTTCATACAGAAGAAAAAACAATGGGAGTGGACTGAGAATCAGAGGTGGGGTTAGAGTCTCTGTGATTCCATGAAACAATACTGTGACGTTTTTCTTCTCTCAACTTTCAAGACTGGAATATCATAGGTACAAGGATTAAATTAGATTTACGAAAGCCCTCTATAAACTATTACATAGTAATAATGTTAATATTTAAGTAGCACTGATTTTAATAAATGAGTCTTTTCCTTATTTCCCTGTGCCTGAAACTCCAGCCTACAAACCCATCTTGAGACCTAGGTACAATCTGATTCTTGCCAATTTCTCTCCAAGAGACTAAACACATTTCTCTTAATTTCAGTCCTATGACTAGTATTACTATTTCTCTAATACTGAGACTTCTCCAATCTAAACACCTGCCTAGATTTCTTGACTACTACTTGTTCTCAAATGCTTTGTGTTCATGTACTAAGACACATCATCAGTCTCACATATCCCAGATATTCAAGTATGCTGGGCTGCCCAACTCTCTCTACCAGTGGCAGCAGGGATGATTCCTCTCTAATGCTTCTCCTAACCCTCCATTCTAAGTGGGCATGGCTAATTTCAAGAGTAGCCCTTTTCTAACCAGTATGTCCATCTTCATTGCAATTTTATGCTCAATCCTTTATGAAAAATAAGACGAGTTTGCTACAATGCAATGAGATTGATTTTTCAGTGCTGCTTACAGAATATAAATTCATTTTCAGAAGTTCGTCATCACAACATCTACTTAAAGATTTTGTCTGTTACAGCAGAGTCTAGAACTTAAAATATTTTCACAAGCATTTTTCTAGTCTAAAATGCAACAGAAGGATTCATAATGACAAAAGTGGTTTAATCTTCTTTATAGAACCTCTCCATTATTTTAATTTGATAAAGTAGTTCTATATTTCTTGTTAAAAGGGACAGAGGGCCAGATACAGTGGCTCACACCTGTAATCCCAGCACTTTGGGAGGCCAAGGCGGGAGGATCACTTGAAGCCAGGAGTTCGACACCAGCCTGGGCAACATAGCCCAGGGAGACCTTGTCTCTAAAAAAATTAGCAGTGTGTGGTGGCATGTGCCTGTAATCCTAGCTACTCCAGTGACCCGGGTAGGAGGATTGCTTGAGTCTAGGAGTTCAAGATTATAGTGAGCTATGATTGCAACACTGTGCTCCAATCTGAGTGACAGAGTGGCCCCTATCTCTTAAAAAAAAAAAAAAAAAAAAAAAGGAGCGGGGAGGGAGAGGAGGAGCCTATAGATTCCATGTCCATTTTAACTCCATTCAATTCTTCAATGAATTTGACTTTCATGTTCCATTACATTTCACTAAAACTATTCAACACTTTTCATCCCTATCTTACTTCTTATAAACCTTTGAAAATGTATCACTTCTTAAACAATCTTTCATTTGAATAAGCCACCTAGTCTTTGTCTCTCACATACTATTATTTCCTTTAATAATATTCATCACAATTTTTAACTAAGTATTTGCTTATAACTGTGTTTATTAATCTACCTAACCCACTCCAAGACAGCAAGGATGTTTGTTTCTCACTACTGAATACCCATGGCTTAGCAGATGTTGGGAGAAGAGACTGTCAATAAATGTCACTGAATGAACAGCAAATGAATTGACTTGTCTCATACCAAATACGGAAACTCTTTTTAGTCCCTAGGGGTTATACATAGATATAAATCAAAATTACTGCTTTAAATCTCCAATGTTCCTTATAATTTTTAAGCATTGTCAAAGACCTTTAGAGAAGTATAAAGCAATACTTTCACTTCTCATTTGCTTAAAACAATTGAAGACAATGTTTTCTTTAATTGGCAATTTTAACATTTCAATGGGAAAAAGAAAATTTGGTTATCTATGAAAATGAACACCTACCTGAGGAAGTTACTCCCATCTGAGGGATGAGTTGCTCCTCCCTGCAATTTTCACGCCCAGGAACTAATCTCTGATATCTTGATGGATGAGGATTACCATCAACATCAACCAAAAATGGGGGAGGCATAAGATGAGGTGCTTGCTGAGTCTGTTCATCTAATACAAAATTGTTGGCATCACGGATAAGTGGTCGATAATCACTATGAAAGAACATCTGATCTGCAATCTGTAAAAAGAAAAGTCCATAAAAGACAGAAAAAATAAAAATTTATCACTGTTGATAAAAATCTACATCTCTGATGAGAAACAAATATGGTAAAAATCTACAACATCTTTAATGAGAAACAAATATGTTAATATTTAATACGAATCATGGTATTAAGCAATAATTAAAAATATTTCCTGGAATTGTCAACAGGTATTTATATTTTCTACACTAAATTTTAAGATCAGAAAATTACGTGCTTTAAATTCTCTCTGAAACAAGGATGAGACAGTAGTTCCCTCTTAACCACATTTTTTCTTTTTCTTTTATTTCAGCATATTATGGGGGGTACAGATGTTTAGGTTACTTATGTTGCCCTTGGTCCTGCCCCCCCCCCCCAACCACAGTTTCATTTTCTGCAGTTTCAGTTATCCACCGTGACCCGGGGTCTGAAAATATTAAACGGAAAACTCCAGAACTAAATAACTCATAAGTCTTAAACTGTGTGCTGTTCTGAAATCTCATGCCGTCCCTCCTGGGACATGAATCATCCCTCTGTCCAGTGTATCCCTACTCTCTGTATATACTACCCACCGTTATTGTACAGGAAAAATATAATGTATGTACGGTTTGATACTATCTGTGGTTTCAGGCATCCACTGGGGGCATTCAAATATATCCTCTGTGGATATATGCATTAAAAAGCTACCATTAAAAATAAGCTATTCAATATTCGATTTGAAATTAAATGGTAAAATCAAATCTAGGCATAAAGTAGTCAACAGTACTTTTACTTTCAGAGAACTACCATGCTTTATCTTAAATCCCTAGTAAGCATGACTGATATAATATTAATATAAAATATTAACTTAAGATTTTCTAAGAGTTAATAACCATTTTCTCTAAATTTTTTAAGATAATATAAAATTATTAATATGAACTTAACCCTGACACATCTGTAACTTCAAATTTTATCAATTAATTTGGAATTTCTTAAACTAAATTATAAACTTCTCCATTTTTACTATCTTAACCTTTTACATCACTCCACAAGTAATTAAATTCTTTTAGCCACTAATCTTAAAGACACAGTCTTTAATTGCTGGGTGTGGTGAAACCACCTGTAATTCTAGCTACTCTAGGGTTAAGACCAGAAGATTGCTTGAGGCCAGGAGTTCAGGCCAGCCTGGGCAAAATAGGAAGACATCCATCTCAAAAATTAAAACAAAAAAGAGAGAGAGAGAGAGAGACAGGGTCTTTAACAGAAAACATTAGCTAGCTACCATTAGTAGGTTATACAGTTTTGAGAACCACGTAAAAGCCATGGATTTGTACTCTAGATAAATACATATTATCTATGTAAATAAAACATTTTATATAATTTCAAAGAGCCACACTATAGACAACACCTTCTATCCCCAGCTTATATACCCCAAGTAAAGAACTCCCATCAAAATTGCTCTAGCTGGCTGAGTAAAAAGTTATTCCTTCCAAAATGTGTATATATTTTATAATGTCTGTTACAAAAAAGTGAGATTTAACAACTCCTGTCTTCCTCTTCTAAAACATAAGTCTCCAAACTATTTAAAATATGATTCTTCAAACTTCATGCTGAATGCAAAAATGTTGATGCTTATCCACTCAAAAAAAAAAAAAAGAAAAAAAAAATACAACCCCTACCCATCCACGGATTAAAGAAATAAGGAAATTATGTATGTTCATCATACTGTACCTTGTCATATTTGCTACTAGACCCAAAGCCAAATATTAAAAGATGTCCATGAGAGTCTGTGCATGCAAAATGCTGACCATCAGGAGAGCACTTGCAGTCAAACACTGCACCATGTCCTTGGCCTTCAATCTGAAATATATTTAATCAATAATAAGAAAATTGCCATTACCATATAAAGAATTGGTCACTACTGTTACTATAATTTTATAATAAAAGATACATAAGTGTACATCCTAATGAAGTGAAGATTAAATATAACATAGTACAGTAATAAAATTTTTGGATATTTATAAAAAGTGTCAGATTCATAGCCTTAAAAAACAAAATACTCTATCCACAGACCAGACACAATTCAGGAAATAAAGAACACCAATCTCCCCCACCCATAAAATTCTGCTTCACGTTTTAAACCCAGATTTAAAATGTAATTGAGCCTTACATTCCATCTATCTCCATTCAATCACACCCTTTCTGCAAAGGCTGGTGACGTAGCAAACTGTAGCGATTTTTTTGTTAACTCTTGGAAGTAGTAGCCAGAGAATACTGCTCACATGACACCAAATTTTATTCTCTTTGGTAATAAATTCCCTAGCGGTCTGACTCATCTTTTAAATGGTGAATTTCAAAGGTTAAAGAAAAGGTTTTTTTTACCTGATAATTGTTTTCTGTTTTCCAGTTCCATTAATCCAGAACGAATGGGTTTCTCCCTGCAACCTGTCAATCAAACAGAGGTGGCCAATCACCACTCTGAATTTTTTGCTCTCAGTGATTCTTCAGACTATGTTCCAGTTGAAAACTTCTTTAGCAGTGTTCTGAAAGAGGTAAAAATTCTACCCTATCTAAAGCACATCTAGGGACTGAATTTCAGAAACAACTAAAATAGGGAGCTGACTCCCTAACAAATAACAACTAAGGATGATTTCACAAATGCGACTGGATGTCTGGATTAGCAGAATCGGAACACACACACATTATCAGGTAAGAAATACCTCCTTTCTGTTCCGGTATCCACTGATCTAGAACAAATTGAGTTTTATTAGTAATATCCCAGGAAATGCTTGGAAAAGAGAAAAGTAATTTCCTTTCTTTGGTATTAAAAATCTGGCATAAGGATGGATGTACAGTTCACTAAATACAGAATTAAGTTAAAAGTCAGAAGAAGAACAGTTGATTTCTACTAAGGTTTGCACTTTGGTCAAAAGAGAAAATATCACTACAAAAGGAAGGGTTCTGCCTAAGAAGTTAATATATTACCACAAATGGGACTGCCTCAAAAAGAAAACTACCTTTCCCTTTGGCTTGAAGAAAAGAAGAAATGTGTATAATCTTGCTTATTAATGCTGTCTTGGATGATGGTAATAACAGAAAAGAAAGAACAGCTTTTCTTAAAATGTAACAGTATTAAAGAAAACTAGTAAATTAATGTCTAATACACACAAAAGCTTATCATAAAAGAAAATGAATCATAAGTGAAACTGGATTATTTCTTGGGTATGAAGAAAGTTGGAGGATGATAAGATAGTGGAGGAAGATAACTGATTCCAACTCTACATTAAAACAATTCAAAACCAAGAAAGAACAGAACCATTTCTCCAGATTAACATACGAGCATACATAAGATTAGCAGCCATACAGCTAGCTAGGCATTTGCCAAAAACGAAAGACTGTAGTAGAAACATCAGGATTTAAGTCTATTTTCCAATGTGTTCCTAGTCAAATGGAAAGTTACATGAACTGTTACAAATAAGTAACCATATGAAAAAGTAGACCTCTAAATAGACTTTTACATCAAAAACTCAAAATTAAAGAATTGAAATTGGCTTAGCCTTGTGTTGTTAGATGATTTATCTCAATTCACTAATAATTTCACAGAAGGCAAGAGAAAACAAAAAAGCAACTACTTTATAAATCTACTCTATGTTTTCAGAACTGTAATACTATTATAAGTCTAAGATTACAATTTTAAGTACATAGGAGTAGAGAGGAAGAGACCTGAAAGTAGTCCAACTCCGCAATGACAAAAGAAATCTGATAAATGTTCATAAGCATAGTATCCTTCATGTGATGTTTAAGCAATCTTATTCTACATTTTTGGGGTAGAGGGAAGGAGAACTAATCAACCTTATACCCATATTATTTACCAATGTTGCCACATTTACAATTAGTAGATCTCTAAAATAATCTTTTAGGAGAGCTGGAACTTATAAAGCTTGAAAAAAGCACAGAAAAAAATAACGATCATATTTAAAATCACTATGTGTCCTATATGACACATTTCATTGTGAATATGGCAAGATGGTATCAATTTTCTTGTTGTATGACATCTGTTTAACTCCAAAGTTATTTTTATACAAAGGAAATGAATACATTTCAATCCTATCAGAAAAAAGTAAAAGTATATTATTTGGATTAATTAATGTTCATTAAAGGCATTAAAAGAATTTGCTTTACTCATGAGCCAATTAGAAAGGTGCTTCTAACCTTATTAAGTAAAAAACCAAGTTTATCTTTATTAACAGCTCCTCAGATAATAATCACCCATACCTATAAAATGCAAACTAGGCTTTCCAAACAGTTGATGATACAAAGTAGGAAAAGATTTTACTTTCCCTATATAAATAAAAATA